CCCCCCCCCCCCCCCCCCCCCACACACCTCTGTTTTCATCTGTTTTCTAAGTGGTTCGTCTTCAGTATCTTTTCTTATCTGATTGTAATTGCACTACTGATACTATATTGTGATTCAGAGATCATGGAGTGCATGAAAACCCCCTTTAGAGGTATCCTAAACGATGTTAAAGGAAGAATAGCTTGCTATAAACAAGATTGGGTTGCTGGCATTCGTTCTGGATTCGGGTATCTATTACTCAAGTAGCATAATCTTGCCATCCTGTCTTTGAAACTTTATCTAAATTTTCTTTCGATCTTTTGTGACAGTATACTAGCACCAACTACATATATCTTCTTCGCTTCAGCCCTTCCTGTTGTTGCCTTCGGAGAGCAACTTAGTAGAGATACAGGTTGCCTCTTTTGAACTCTAAATTTTCATGCTATCCTCTCTAGAAAAGTAAAGCCCAGTAAAAGGTGGATATTCGGACTTCTAGAAATTGCAGCGATTCCTTTTGCTTACTTTAGAAAATGAAAGATTAGGAGAAGGAAACGGTAATCCTGAGAAGCACAACCACTTATAAATTTCAGAATTTAATATATTGCAGCTTGGTGCATAAAAATTAAAAAGTAGACCATTAAAATGGATTCTTAAGGCTATATTTGTTTTTTTTATTATTAACCTACTCTTTTTGCACTATTTGCTTCACTTTTTTGTTCTAATCACAGGTCCATAATTTTATTTAAGGAATTTGGAAGTAATGCAACTTTTTCAATTTACTATTTGTAGATGGAAGCTTGAGCACAGTAGAAACATTAGCTTCTACTGCTCTCTGTGGCATCATACACTCAATACTTGGTGGCCAACCTCTTTTAATTTTAGGAGTTGCAGAGCCAACCGTTATAATGTACACTTATTTGTACAACTTTGCTAAAGGAAGGGAACATTTAGGACCAAAACTCTTCTTGGCTTGGGCTGGATGGTATGGGAAATTCGTTTTGTCTTGCTCAAAATTGTTGCTTATATTTGGATTTCTTTTTATGTATTCGTTTTTTCTGGTGACTGCTGCAGGGTTTGTGTCTGGACAGCTGTTTTGCTCTTTCTTCTTGCAATATTCAATGCTTGTGCTATAATCAATCGGTTTACTCGGTTAGCAGGCGAACTTTTTGGCATGCTGATTGCTGTTTTATTCATCCAAGAGGCTATCAAGGTAAGTGAAATCACTACCAGAAAGAAATAAAAAAGTTTGCAAAAGTGAATAGAAACATGATGAGTGTGATGCTACTATGGTAATTAAAAATGTTGCACCTTATTTGGATCACAGGGCATGGTCAGCGAGTTTGAAATTCCCAAATCTGAGGACCCGAACTTAGATAAGTATCAATTTCAGATGCTTTACACTAATGGACTGTTGGGTATCATATTCACTTTTGGACTTCTTTACACTGCCTTGAAAAGTAGAAGGGCAAGAGCATGGTGGTATGGCACAGGTTTGTGTAGCAACGTTTAGAATCTTTGCATTTCTGGTTAGATATTCATAGGTTGAGCACAAGGTTTATAAAATTTTTGCACCATGTTGTCCAGGGTGGTTTAGAAATTTCATTGCAGACTATGGTGTTCCTTTTATGGTTGTGGCATGGACAGCACTTTCATTTAGCATACCAAGCAAAGTTCCTTCTGGGGTTCCCAGAAGACTTTATAGCCCTCTTCCACTGGACTCTGCATCCTTACATCACTGGACTGTCATCAAGGTAACCAAACCTTGAATGGAATTTCTAATGCAGCATTTTCTTACAAATGGATCATTCTTTTGCTTAATGACTTGTTTCGTGCACGACTGCTTTGTCAGCTTCAAGACACTTGCAGATAATATTTATTTTTTTCATCACTTACAGGATATGGGAAGTGTCCCTCCAGCATACATCTTTGCTGCATTTATTCCTGCTCTGATGATAGCAGGGCTCTACTTTTTTGATCACAGTGTTGCATCCCAGATGGCACAACAAAAGGAGTTCAATCTTAAAAATCCTTCTGCGTACCATTATGACATCTTGCTACTGGGCTTTATGGTACATATCATCCACATATGTTAAAGCTGGCTTTTATTATCATCATGTTTCTCAAAAACTTGTGTTCTACTATTGACTGGTTGGTTCAGACTTTGCTTTGTGGATTAACTGGGCTACCTCCTTGTAATGGTGTTCTACCACAGTCTCCTATGCATACTAAGAGCCTTGCTGTCCTCAAAAGACAGGTCAATTGCAGATTTTCAATAGAAAACTTCTTAAGCTAATTAGCTTAGCAGCCTTTAGATGCTTATAGAATCTGGTTGATCATTTGCAGTTGATTCGAAGGAAGATGGTGGCAAGTGCCAAAGAAAGCATCAAACAGAAAGCGAGCAACTCTGAAATCTATGGCAATATGCAAGCTGTGTTCGTTGAAATGGACAGCATTCCAATTGTGAGTTCTTTGATCAATACAAACTTAAAGTGTCCGTCCTGTTAAAATCAACATTATAATGCTTCCTACGCCAAACGCACGAACATTTTCTAACGAATGGCCTGTACAGATTCCGTGCTGTAACCATATGTTTAAAGTTTTAAGAACTTTAGCTTGTCTCTGGGATGATAAAGTTCCCAAATCATCGCAGCATATTAATGCCAAACACCATGGTTTTCCGATATGCAGAATGCAGTAATTAAAGAGCTGGAAGACCTGAAAGAGGCAGTCATGAAAGGAGAAGATTCAGAGGATACGTTTGATCCTGAGAAGCACATTGATGCCTACTTGCCTGTCCGAGTTAATGAGCAAAGAGTTAGCAATTTTCTTCAGTCCCTACTTGTGGCAGCATCAGTATGTGCTATCCCTGCAATAAAGCTGATACCTACATCAGTACTTTGGGGATATTTTGCTTACATGGCAATTGACAGTCTTCCTGGGAACCAGTTCTGGGAGAGAATGCTACTCCTATTCATTGCACCTGGCCGGCGCTATAAGTAAGTTATTTGTCATTCCGAGTAATACAATAATCCAAATGGCATTTTAGAATTAGAGCAATATTTTCTAAAACCTTGCTCAGTTGCATCTTATGAACTAGATTGAACCAAAATTGCTCAATTTTTTCTCATGACTTGAGAAAATTCTGTTTTTTTTTTTTTTTTTTTTTTGGGGGGGGGGGGATCGAACCTTGAATTTTCCCATTTTCTTCAAGATATCTCTTTAAATGCATCATAAATGTTAAGTGTTTTTAAGAGCTTCCTGATTGCAAGTGTATGTTACTTTTATCATTCTGACATGTATTGTTATTAGCTGCCTGTGATTTTACTGGTTACAACTGTGCCTGGCATTCACTTTTGACAGGGTCCTGGAGGGGATTCATGCTTCCTTTGTGGAATCAGTTCCCTTCAAATACATCGCCATATTTACCATCTTCCAATTCGTCTATTTCCTGGTCTGTTTTGGTGTGACCTGGATTCCGATAGCTGGAATCTTGTTCCCCCTGCCGTTCTTTATTCTCATCAGCATCAGACAGTACATCCTTCCTAAGTTGTTCCTTCCAAATCATTTGCGGGAACTAGATGCAGCCGAATATGAGGAGATTACCGGCGCCCCACGACCTTCTCTCAGCTTCTCTTTCAAGGCATATTATTCTCCAGACCTCTCTTGCTATCTGCTGATTCTTTGTAGTTTTTATTATGCTAATACTAAATTCATGTGACATTCTATGAGGAACGTGTTCTATCAGGAACGAGAAGAACGTGTTCTTGGAAATGAGGAAGGCATAGTCGAAATGTGTGATGCTGAGATATTGGACGAGCTAACTACCAGCAGAGGGGAGTTAAAGTTTAGAAATGTTAGCTCCAGGGAAGAGAATGCTACTCAGGTATTCTGGTTTCTTTATTCTTAGAAAGTACCAAGAACTCAAGAGTAGGACTAATGGTGCTATATTGCTTTTGAAAAGTGCACGTTCCAGTACGTACATAAATGTGTTTCAAATGTCTATCTATCAATTTTATTCACATATTTGGCCATAAGAAATTCATGGTTACAGGTTTCTATGTCGTTGTTGCAGGTCTGTTCCCATCCAGAATGAGAGATGATGAATTGTACTTGGAAGATGACGAAGACGACATTTACAGCTAGGAGAGAAGAATTTCATCATAATAGTTGCAGATAGAAGCCAAGGACAGATCATTGAGTTTTGTCCAGTCAGAATCACCCCATCCTTTTAATTTCTTGTCCCTTCATTGTATATAAATCCAAATTAGCATTGGCAAAGCGATAGAGAAGATTTGCGTGTATTTTATATTTGAGATTTCTAGTATTGTTAGTTTGTTTGGTGAGAAGTGTTTTTTTTTTAAAAAAAAAAATTTAGAAAAGTTAATTTAAAAAAATAAATTATTTTTTGATATTTGATAGTATAATAAAAAAATAAATTATAAAATATTTTTCAATATTTATTATATCATGGAAAATAAGCTAAAACATAATTTAATTTATGAAATTATATATTTTTTAAAATTTTATTTCATTCAACTTTTTAATTTGCAAAATTTATTTCTTATTATTTTAATAAACTTGAGAAAAATAAAATATTAATAAGTTATTTTCCATAAATTATGTCAAATAAAATAAATAATAATTAAAATAATAGACATCAAATCTAAAAAATAAAAATAAAAGATGAAGAAATTAAAATAATAATATTAACATTTTATAAATTATTTCAAATAAAATAAGTAACAATAAAAAGAATGAGGATTAAATTTGATAAATAAAAAATTTCATTAAAAAAATAAAAAAAAATAATTATTATAAAAATAAGAATCAAAGTTAATATAAAAATTAAATTTTAAGAGATGAAAGTGAATAATAAATATTCAAAACAATATATATATATATATATATAACAATCAAAAGTTTAAGGATCAAATTTGATATAATCAGCAAATAACATGACATTTCTATATTTTCCATAATTTTTAAAAAGTGTTTTTCACCCAAATTTTTTATGAAAACACTTTTCTGAAAATCAAGCCAAATTTTTCTTTGACTAGAAATTGTTTTCTATTAATCAACTTTTCTAATATCAAATAAACACAAAAAAATTTTAAAAATAGTTTTCTGAAAACTACTTTTTAGAAAACAAATACGGCCTAAATGGATGGGATATCTGGAGACTATTTCGAGACTTGATCCAGTTTTTTTTTAATATAAAAAAATTAAAAATTAATGTAAATATTTAAAAACTTTTTTTAAAATTCGGGTCATTTTAATAAATTATTTAATTTAATAATATAAATAAAAAATTACAAAGATGGTAAATAAAACAATAAAAAAAAATCAATCAACCAATTAAATCCAACTCTATGCAAAACTAAGAAGAAAAGTCACAGCAAAGCACGGGCAGCATCATATGTAATGTTTTTTATCTAAAAAAAATTATAAAATGATGTAAATATTAAAAAAAATAAAACTCGAGTGATTTTAATAAATTAGTATAATTTAATAACACAAATAAAAATAAATACAATGATAGTAAATAAAGCACGAAAAAAATGACAATAAAAAAATTAAAAAAATTCAATAGACCAATTAAATCCAACTTTATGCAAAATTAAGGAGAAAGCCCGGGCACAACATATGTAATATTTTTTACCTAACATATAAAAAATAATAAAATGATATAATATTAAAAACTTATTTGAGACTGGCGTCATTTTAATAGACTTAGTTAATTTAATAACACAAATAAAAAAAATATTGATGTTAAATAAAGTAGGAAAAAAATAACAATGAAAAATATTAAAAAAAAAATCAATTGACCAAAGAATCCAACTCTATGCAAAATTAAGGAGAAAGCCCACGGCAGAGCACCAACAACAACATATACAGTGTTTTTTACCAAATATAAAAAAATCATAAATAATATAAATATCAAAAAACTTTTTTAAAGACTAGAGTTATTTTAATAATTTTGATTAATTTAATAACATAAATTAAAAAAATGATAGTAAATAAAAAAAATAATAAAAAATAATTCAAAAAACAAAATAAAAAAATCAATCCAGAGAAAACCTGCAGCGGAACACGAGCAACAGTATATATAAGGCATGTTTAAGATTGTAGTTGTGATTCTTTTCAAATTGTTTTTTATTTTGAAATTTATTAAAATAATATTTTTTTATTTTAAAAAAAATTATTTTTAAAATTAACACATTAAAATAATTTAAAATTTTAAAAAGAAATTAAATTTTTTTAAAACATATTTCCAAACGGTCGTGTTTTCTATGATTCATACGGAAAGTTTTCAATTAGTTATGGGATCCACAGGCCACAACAATGCAGACGACGCATATAAGAGGCATTTTTCGAGGAACAAGCTCCTTGTAGAAAAAACCATAGATACATCGTTCCTCGAGGAACATTATAATCGAACTCATTTCAAGCCCCTCATGTTTCCGTTACAAGAAACCTACAGTACAGAAACATCTATGTATGATGATCAAGATGAAAGAATGTGGTTGCACAAGCATTAATGCAATTAGCACATTATCACAGATGACGCCTTGGATTTCGAACACTAACCAGCTTCACATCGTCTAATACTGGGCCGCATAGAGAACCAGAGTTGTCACTTTTCATGGTGTAAAATGAGCTAAGAAATGTAATTCTTGTGTGATTTGACACGGCCTTGAACACGAATTTGGCACGCTTGAACCCTCCTTTGCCATTAGATTTGTAAGGAACTTGAGTTCTGTCCTTACCAGCATATACCTCTACAACCATTGATCCCACACATGAGTTGCTGGTGTCACCAACATTGAATGTGAGGACATAGATCTTATTGATTATGGTCTTCACAATTTGCGAGATAGCACTCTCTTTTCCTGCTATAAGTTCAACAGCTCTTTTTCCCTCTGGGACTGTGAAGTGCTCGCTATCTATGTACTTTACTGCCTTGAGAGAGTCAACTATCCATCCAGGAAGAGGACATTGATCATCTTCATTGTGGGGAGGGATTAGGACACCCCAGTCTGTGTTGGGAAACATATATGGACCCTCCTCAAAATTCCCATTCTTTAACAAGTTGTCTGCGATATAATAAGTAGAAATAAATCAAAACCAAATCAGATTAAGATTTGATTGAGAAGAAATCATATTGATTAAGTTGAAATCCAATTCCTTGATAATTTTGTTACCTCTGGCACGCTTAGGATTGGACAAAAGCTTTAACGCGACGGAATCAACAAGGGGGCCGCAGGCGGCATCCTCCTCCACACCAGGGTTGTGGATGGAGATCTCAACCTCAGGCCCCTCAGCATGGAAAGCCCATGCATAGGCATCCCATCCATTGCTACTATACATTGTTTGCATTGGCAAGATTCCCCAATCTCTTGGCTCCGAATTTGATGAAACAGACAAATTCAGTTTCTCCTCTTGGGCACAAGTGCGAGCCACATTGAAGGTTAGAGAGTAGAACTTGCCTTGTGTGACCTTAACTTTTTGCTTAATTGATGCTTCGTTCCCTAATCTGACTGCGTAGGCTCCAACAGGCACTACCAGCAACATGTCACCTTGTTTATGCCCTGATTTAATGTACTCGATGAAGCCGGAAATTTCCCAGTTAGGAATTGCATTCTTGGCCGTCACTACCGTTCCTTTCATTTCCGATGGCTTTGGCCCATACTCGAAGTCCCCATTGGGCAATAAACCTGAAATCAATGGCCATAAGTTGACTCAAGCACAGAAATATAAATGCTGCATGTAAACGTCATCCTGCATGTTGGGATTGATATGAAAATGCAAGCTAAAATCAATTTAAAAAAAAAAAAAGAATAAGTTTTTCACAAAATTAAGGGTCTATTCACTGATAGAAAGTTATTTCTTTTTTTTTCATTTTCGTTTTCACATTTTTTTAGCAAATAAGGAGCTGATTCTCGGCTTAGGAAAAAAGAGCAAGCAGGGTCTTGAATTCAGATCCAACGATGAGAAGGAATCAAAGAAAAAACAAGCACTGGCACATACATGTATTATATCACACAAGGAACCAAGAGGAAGTGACTAGCAAAGATGCGGTAGCAAGCAAATCAAAGCTGAAACTTTGTGAGTAGACGAAGACATATTTGGAGGACTTACCATCGGTGACTGACAACGCAAGTTGCCAGGTGATGCAGAGTGACACTAACAGCACGGTGGCTCTGTACATTGCGTTTAATTTACAGGGAGAGAGAGAGGGAGGAAGGAGATGTCAGGCATGGAGATCGCTTGAAGGTATGTGTTGGGTTTTATTTGCTTTGGTCCACGAGAAAGACACCAGTTTGGGTCAAAACTACATGAGTGCCACTACATCTACTTGCTGGTCATCTTCATTGAAGACAGAAGGTCACCAACATTGTGGATTAATCTTAAAACGTTCTCATGTTTCAAAATCACTGTTTTTTACGTCATTATAGTTTTTTTTTCTCATGGTCATCTGAGATTACTTCTTTTTATTGAATTGAGAATATGAATTTAACTCAATATATAATTTGATTAAAAATATATATAATTGAAAAAAAAAGATACAAGATAACTCTATGCTTAGATGCAAGAACTTGGTATAAATGTACACTTCTTGCAGTTCTACACATCCAGTAAGAGTTAGAACAGAAATTAAATTATAAAAAATAGTGATCAATTCAGCTGTAATAGTAAGAGTAGTTTAGAGAATAAAATTCCAGCATTTTTTATATATTTGGAGAATGATATAAGAATCGAATATTCTTGGGGAGCTAAATTTGAGGATGTGGTCGTCTTCTGGTGGAGGTTAAGAGGGAAGGTATTGAAAGCCACGCGCTTTTATTAAGACGTTGTTTATAATATCACTAACACAAATGCTGAGCATTTTTTTATTTGTTGGAAACCTTTTCTTCTTACTCTTTTGATATATGGCTGCTTTTTGAAAATTGGTCAATAATATTTATTTTTTAGTTAAAGATAGAATTGAGGTTTAGAGAAACGAAAAGATGTTTTCTAGTTTAAAAAAGAGAAAAACATTTTTTTATGAAAAACTAAAAAGTTCTTACATTATTCTTTTTAAAATATAAAATTAATATATTAATAAAGTACTTCAAAATATATAATATTATAAGAAGATAATCCACCACTACAATAAATAGGAGATGATACAATGCGATGTGTGTGTGTGTGGATATATATATATATATATATTAATTTCATTTTAATAAAATCATATATATATATATATAATGATAAGAATTTTATTGTGAAAATATACCAAAAAAAAAAATTTATTTTCAATGTTTATCAAATAC